TGGGCCATTATTGTTCTATGGGCTTGTCCCTCTAGCTTGGCAGCTGTCGACTTCTGCGATGCGCGCCACTCCCAATCAAGCTCAGATGTCGGCCTCCACGACCACGGTCCCTCGAGGATGGCCGCTGGCGACTTCTGCGATGCGCGCCCATCCCAATCAAGCTCAGATGTCGGCCTCCACGACCACGCCTTGTGGACCCGCTTGTCAGCGGGCTGCGCAAACGCTCCGTGCCGTTGAGCACTCGACCCAGGTCAACCCTTGTGGATCATGCGAGGCGGAAAAGTTAGGAAAATCATTATGGTGGTCAAGTTGGGCAGGTTCGTCGTGGAAGTTGGGCTTGACGAGGCCGCAGGACAAGAAGGCATGGGACTCACGGCAGTGGTCTATTTTTGCCCCCGAAGAGTATCCAAGATATATGGACGCGCGGGCATCCTGCGACTGGTTTTCGACTGGCACTGTGAGAGAACACAATGACAGGTATAGCAACATGCGATCAGGGAGTCCTTTCCGGTACAGTCAGGGAGCTTACAACAGAGGTGGGGGTGATCAATTTCTGAATTCACCCGCCCAAGTGTGCATATTGCCCCCGGTCAGTGATGGAGACGGAAATTGGACACAAACGTACATCACTCGCATCGGCCCTTATTCTTTCACAGGTAAAGGTTATTACAGCAATGAGCACCATGGATGGGGCTATTTGACCCCGCACCAATTCTCGATAGCGCCAGCTGCCCCTCCTGGCGATACAGCAATTGTTGAAACGATAGATGCGGCGTATGACATGAGCGGCAAGCCTTTCGGATACCCACCTTTGCACACACACACCATGATTCTTCCACAAAGCAGGGGCGTTGGCATGAAATGAAATCGCTTCGTAATTGGGGGCCAGTACTGACGCAGTTTGGGTCAGCGAGTTTCAGGCATGCGGACTTTGTGAGTTGTGTAGTAAACGAATCAGATACCAACGCGTGTGCTTATTTGAAGTTGCCACGCAGCCACGCGCTTTTCATTAACAATGGATCATTCAACGCGGCAAATAACTTGCGCAACATTGTGGGCAACCCTTGGGAACAGAAGGATTTCGACCAAGATTTTTTCTTTGAGTTTGGGCGAACATACACGGTCAAGGCGCCTACAGGTGCGGGCCATACTGCATTGGCGGAAGGAGCGTTTCCTCAGGGTCGTCGGGACATGTATTTTTTGACTTCTCTATCACTGGTTCAGGGGCCCGCTGCGCTCCAGAAGAGCACAGGCCGTTTGGTAGTGTTGCTTGGCATGTCTTCAGATTTCCACAGACAGTGCGGATTGTTTCGAGTTGGTGGCACACGCACTCGCAAATCCCAAGCGAGCTGTTTATCGTTCAAGGTGATGTACAAGCTTTGTTACCGCTGGAGCTAGTCAAGGCCTGCTATCAGATGGGCAAGTGCAGAAGCATGCGTGAACGTGGGTACGGGACCACGTTTCATGGTGACATGGCTCTTGACCGCAACTTGTCTACAACGATTTTAGACGATGTTTTGGTGCGTGGTTCTGCGCACGGCCAATCGCATCTGCGATGCCAGTTCAAAAGCCGTAACATTGCACAACGCAATGTTGCTTACACTCGCTCTCGCTACAAGGCGCTGGCGACCGCCAAGACATGTGAGGATTTCATCCTGCAAAAAGGTGATAGCATCTCGATGCTGGCCCTCACCTACCCAATATCGCCAAACCGCAAGGACATTGGACAAATGCTGCGATTCAAAAACCATCACAGGTGGCATGCAGGAGTTGGCATGTTAGACTAGCGATGCAGTGTTTGCACGCGTTCCCCTGGAGGAGTGAGGGGGCGTAGTTGCCTCCGAATGCGGCCGCACGTATTTGCCGTATATCAATATGTTTGCCATCGCAGACCCTACCGTAACCGGTGCGTCATAGCACCGTGCGAGTGTAAAACCAAAGAGTTTGAAGTCGCTGCGATGTGCACTTGTTTGGGTATGCCCCAGCAGCTCGGACTGTACAATGTGGGGGCGCTTCCATTATATTACGTCGTTCAGTTGGTCCGTGACGCGCGCAGCGCGCGAACGAGCTAGCCGACCAGGCGGCCTAAAAGTCTTGAGGGCCTCTCTGTGCCTGCCCGGGGAATGCGCGCAAACCGGGGGGTTCATGTCGAAGGCCTGCGTGCTCACAATGTTCGAACGTTTGTCCTAAGTGTAGGCTAGCATGGCTCTGGAATCATCTCGCGAACACCCGGCATGCCAATGCTTTTGTATTGTATGGCTCGGTGATGAAAGTTGGTACTGAGCTCACGAATTTCCGCCCTGCCGATTTCGCTCTGTGGTATACCCGCATAGGCGACTTCAGTGCCACAAGGGGGGGCGCGATTTGTCCGCCCCAGCATTTCTCTTGTAGACGATATGGGGGTGGAGGCGCCTTGGTTTTAATGTGGGGGTGGAGTATCTCTCTGCGCCGACACGTCGGTGTTCCAGCACCTCAGGCATTGCTCTACTGTTTTTGCTATCGCTTGGGCCCCTGCCCGGGCTCTGTTGCTGCGCCAGTGCCTGCCCTTGCAGGCTGGGCGCCGCCTGTCTCTCCTTCGTCGTGTCGTCATGTCGCTTTCTCTTTGGGACTTGGCCACCACGTGCGGGCCTCGCCACGTTCTGAGTTCTGAGTTCTGAGTTATGAGTCCTCCTCCTCCTCCTCCTCCTCCTCTTCCTCCTCCTTCTCCGCTATCTGCTCGTGCTCCCTCTGCCCCATCATGATTTTCGATTGGTGGCGACTGTCTTTGCGGTCTTTCCGCCTCTAGCCCTATAGAGTGCAGTTTCTTGGAGTCTTAGCGTTGGTGTGCTGCCGCTTCGGCGCGGAATGCTTCTTCTAGCGAGGCATGACGCGTTGACCTGGCGCCGTCGACACATCTAGTGCTCCCGACGAGGTAGTCGCCAGGATCAGAAAATCGGCGGGCTTGGAGGATGTATCGGGCGCCGCGGCCGCTCCAGAGCGTTCCGGAACGCTCTGAGAGCGCTCCGGAACGCTCTGGAGCGATTTATCCCGATCCGCGAGCCTCCAGGCCAGCCGGGGGCCCCCGACCTCCTCTTCCCCTCGGGGGCGGAAAAGAGGGGGGTGATGACTAGGGGGGGGTGATGACTAGGGGGGTGACATCTCCCCAGATTTCGTGGCGCCTCTTCTCATTTCATTACGTCCCTGGCCCCCCCGCTGGGCCGCGCACATGCCGTTAGTCATGATTTGCACCCCCCCTCTTGGACACCCCCCTCTTGGCCGCTCCCGATCCCTCCTCGCCTTGTTTTAGGTTCAGAGACACGGGTGCAGCTCCTGCCGAGCTCGGGCCCTCAGCAAGGGTGGCCCCATCGCCGTTGGGCGTCGGGCACCCCCGCTGGGGCTCGCGCGGCTGCGGATGCTTTTTCGCGTTCTGAACCTCAACCATTTTTTTTTTTTCTGAGCCCTGGCACGCAGGCCCTGTGACCTGACGCCGCGAAAAACGCGGATTCACAAATGTGAAGCGTAGTTAGTCTCTCTGCACCCTCCCTCCGCACTTGCTTGCATCCGCCTCACTTCCGCCTCTGCCTCCGCAGCCTTTTTGGGTCACAGGGGGGACCGCTTGTTCTCTAACTGGACTCGGGGCCTCTGTTCTGCAGGTCGCGCCAACTTTGGGCGTCGATCTGTCCCGCTACCACGCGAGGGCTGTTTCGCGTGGGAAAACAAAAAAGCCCGAAGAGCGCGACATTTCAAGGTCTCCGGCCTGAGAGGCTCCTAGGACGCCCCCGGAGGCCATCAAGAGGCTCCCAAGAAGCATCAAGAAGCCCCGTGAGGCTCCCAAGAGGCCCCCCGGAATCCCCAATAAGCCCCCAAGGGCCCCCCAGGGAAGCCCCCTGCGGGCTCCCAAGGGACCTCGGTAAAACGCATTTCCCAGAGCTTTCCGGGAAGATAATTCCTTCGGTTTCCGCCCATCGCCCCAACCATATTTCCAATAGGCTTGCCGACAAGGCCAAAAGAGCCCCTCGGTAAGCCCCCAGAGCCCACCCTCTTAAGAGAGCCGAACAAATCATGCCCCCGGAAAGCTTCCAGGGAACATGATTCTCGGTTTGCCGCCCTCTCCCCAAACAATGTTTATAAACGCCTGCCAGGATAATAAAACGAGAGTCCCAAGCAGCGCTACCTGCCGCCACGCTCGGAAACGCGTCAGGCCCCGAAGCCTCCGGAGGTGCCCGACGACACCCCAACAAATCATGTTCCCAGGAAGTCTTACGGCCACTGCCGCCGACGTTGAATGAGGACGGTCCAGAACACCCAGAAATCTTCCAAACAGGCTTCCAAGAGGGCGCCAGGACAGCCCAGGGCCGCCCCCAGACGGCCCAAGAAAGCCCCAACACAGACGAAAAGGGCCGCAAGAGGCCCCGAAACGAGGACATATCGTTCGAACACGCCCAAGACGGCCTCCGGACAGCCCACGAGGCTTCCAACACGGCCCAAAGGGACGCCAAAATCATTGAATTGATTGTCCTTAGGTTTTTGATGGATTTCAGATACCCAATGTCGCCCCAACAGGCCCCCGCGAGGGCGCCGAGACGGCCCAGGGACGCCCTGCCGCGGGCACGAGGCGCGGCCCGGGACGGAGCCCTCGCACCGGGGGGCCCGGGAGCCTTGCCGCGGCGCTGGGGGCCTTGTAAAGTCGCCTGAAGACGGCCCTGGCGTTTCCAGACAACGAAGACGACCCATGACCGCCCGAGATCACCCCAGAATTGGTCCCTGACTCTCCAAGAGGCCTCCAAGACGCCCCAAGAGGTCTCCAAGATGGCTCCCAAGGAGCCCCAGGAGGCACAACTAATTTGTTTTCCTTTGGTTTTTGATCGATTTTCAAGTTCTCGCCTTTTGAGTTTCCTGACGCTCCACGACGGCCCAAGAGGCTTTAATTTTAATTTCCGCTCCAAGGCATCCCTAGTGGCCTCGAAGACGGTCACGAGACAGCCCACGGGGGTCACAAGACGGCGCCAGCGGCGCTCCGTAGCCATTTTCGCTCAAGTTTGGCTCAAGCGATATCGGCTCAAACTTTGAGCTGATTCCTTGGCTGACACTACGTATCGCTGCGCCGCGCTACGCTTCGCAACGCTTCGCTACAGTACTCTACGCTACTCCACGTACCATGATGCATGTGTGTTCGTTCCTTGTACGCGTGCTTCTTGGCAGCGCACTCACATCTGATGGTCTGTGCGTTCAGCCATCGAGTCAAGACTCCAGAGCCAGAAGCGGAGACAGGCATAATGGGTACGGAGATACGTTGTTGCGAACGGCTGAAGGTTGCCCCAGTCGGTCAATACCATATAATGCGTCCACGTGTGTGACAGATGTAATGGATTACGAATATTGGTTGCCTCCTCCAGACGTGTACAATCACTACATGGCGCACGAAGATTGGTCACGAGATCAGAATGAATTATGGAAACACATCACTAAGCTACAAGAACCTGCAGCGTGCAACAACCAAGAGTGGCACCTCATAAAGTTCACTGTGCATGGCTTCGCATACAATTTGTACATATTTGTATTTCTCGCTGCAAGATATTTGGACAATCGTGCGCCAGTGTTGGTTGGCAATTCCAAGTACCGCTTGACGGATACCAAATGTGGACGAGGATATCTATGCACCCTGTCGCCGTTAACACAGTGTCGTATGGAGAACATCGATCCGGCTCTGGTCAAGGTAACAGGAGAAAATCCTGGGGCATCGGATCTAAGCACGATATGCTCGCCAGGTGGTAAATATGATGTTGAACTTGGTGGATGTAAATGCGACGAGGGTTATTTTCCATGGACGGAGGGATGCAGTCAATCGCCTGATAATGAAGATAAGGTATTGTGGCAGGAGTGGTATACTGCGCATCCCTTGAATTACATGCGCTCAAGAGATTACTATTACAGGGCACCCGGGGAAGCCAATTGGCAGAGCAATCCAGACAGCGCTGCAAATGACATACCTGATGATTCGTGGGCAGAAAAACGATCGCTGACATGGTGGCATGCGCAGCACCTCTGGAATTTCTACAAAGATTCACCTGAAACCAAAGAAATGAATGAATGGCTTGCAGCCAAACATATGTCACCCTCGTGCGTCTCCGTGCATGTCCTGCACAACGATGCGTGTGAGGATGATTATAACCCATGGAAGCGTTGCTTCAAATTCGAGGACTATTCGACTCAATTGGACGTCATGGATAGATTGTACGGTCCATTCGAGCACGTCTACTTGGCCGCGGATGATCATGCTGTAATTGAGGACGCCCAGCAGAGTCGATGGTCTTCACGCCTCATCCGCCAAGGGTATGATCGTGCCAAGTATCGTGGCAACGTTGGCAACTCGGACATGTTCGAAAAATATTCGGCCACAAGAGCAATCAAGCGTGATATATTTGCCATGTCAAAGTGTAAAGCATTCATCGGGACAATGTCAAGTTCCATCGCCTGGGTTACATATGAGCTGATGATGGCAAGGCATGGGCATTACGTAGCTTTCATCTCGTTGCAAGGGGCCTTCAATGACAAGATTATCGGCGGATGACCATTTCGCCCGTAGTCGTAGTCGTAGCAGTAGTAGTAGTAGTAGTCGTCGTCGTCGTCGTCGTCGTCGTCGTCGTCGTCGTCGTCGTCGTCGTAGTCCTAGTCGTAGTCGTAGTCGTAGTAGTAGTAGCAGTAGTAGTAGTAGTAGCAGCAGCAGCAGCAGCAGTAGTAGTAGTAGTAGTAGTAGTAGTCGTAGCAGTAGTAGTACTAGTCGTAGTAGTAGTAGTAGTAGTAGTAGTAGTAGTAGTAGTAGTAGTAGTAGTAGTCGTAGTAGTAGTAGTAGTAGTAGTAGTAGTAGTAGTAGTAGTAGTAGTAGGAGCAGGAGTAGGAATAGGAGTAGGAGTCAAGCTAGCCAGCTCGAGCGAGTCAAGCATGGCATGCCCAGTCCCACCCGCCCTCCCACAACATAAGAAGCAAAGCTGGCACAACTGGGGGCCGAAGTCACACCGGCCAGCCGGTTTGGTACAGCTGATGCGGCCGCGATGGCGGTTGCCGACGGGAACTGGCGAGCGCGTGTTGAATGCCGCGCACGCATTGCCAGACGAGTCGAGAATGGCCCGGTACACCGCAGGAAGCCAGAGGTGGCCGGAGGAAGCCCGACGGTCTGACAGGACACCCCAAAGCATTTTTGTGAAAAAGCATTTGGTTTTTGATGTTTTTATGTTGAAATGCTTGCAAACACACGGTGTTCGGTAGGATTCTGACATGAACGCGCGAGTGTGCTCTTTGTGGTATTTTTTGCACAGGATTCGCGGCCTGGGTGCATGACAGAGCATCGCGAGTGCACCGCGCGATGACGTGAAATCGCTGATTTGACAGAATTCTTAAGATTCCTATGGTTTTCCTATGATTTCAGCAAGAGAGCCCGGCGGGAAATTGTACAATTTTTGTGAAAAAGCATTGGGTTTTTGATGTTTTTATGTTGAAATGCTTGCAAACACACGGTGTTCGGTAGGATTCTGACATGAACGCGCGAGTGTGCTCTTTGTGGTATTTTTTGCACAGGATTCGCGGCCTGGGTGCATGACAGAGCATCGCGAGTGCACCGCGCGATGACGTGAAATCGCTGGATTTGACAGAATTCTTAAGATTCCTATGGTTTTCCTATGATTTCAGCAAGAGAGCCCGGGCGGAAATTTGTACAATTTTTGTGAAAAAGCATTGGGTTTTTGATGTTTTTATGTTGAAATGCTTGCAAACACACGGTGTTCGGTAGGATTCTGACATGAACGCGCGCGTGTGCTCTTTGTGGTATATTTTTGCAATGGATTATCGCCGTGGACGACAGGACGTCCATGTCGAGAGGAAAAAATAAGAAAAATGTTGATTTTGTATTTTTTTTTACAGGTTAGGATGGGACCACCCGGATGCGCCCGCTATCTGCCGGCCTGAGGGGGGAGTAGGAGTATATTCTAATAAGGAATAAGGATAGGAGTAGGAGTAGGAGTAGGAGTAGGAATAGGAGTAGGAGTA